AAAGACCAGAGGTTGGCAAACTGCAGTCTGTGAGTGACATCTGGCCCACTGCCTGTTTTTTTAAATAAAGTTTTATTGGAAGATAACTACACCTTTCATTTACATATATCCTCCTATGGCTGCTTTCGTGCTACCACTGCAGAGTTCAGTAGTTGCAACAAGGGCCTGTGACCCTCAAAGACTGAAATATTTACTGTCTGGCCCTTTACAGAAAAAAGTTTGCTGATACTTGCACTAGACCGTGAAGTCCTAAATGGTCACATCTTACTTAAGCTTTCTGCTTTTCTTGAGCTTATGTAAAGGCAGTATATAATTTTCCTTTTAACAGAAATTTTGTGACCAAAATTTGCTTTCTGTTATCTTCATAAGATGCATCCTATAGGGAGTTTCCTGCTCAGGGAACTGAGATCCCACAAGCCATGTGGCGTGGCCAAAAAAGAAAAAAAAGATACGTCCTATAGAAGTTTAGTTTGTGACTCTGTTGTTCAAGACATTGTGATGGACTTCTGCTAATGAAATTAGGAACTCCAAACAAATTCTAAATTGTTTCAGCTCTTCCTTGGCCCTGGAAATCTTGGTGAATTTACCAGACTAGACTTTGTTAGGAAAAGTAGCTAGTAAAAATATCAGGGATTTGAAACCAGAGCTAATTAGTTATTGAGGAGCTCAAGTTTTAAAGAAAGGGAAGACAATGGAAAATGTAACAGAAATCATATATGGTTTGATGACAGTGTAAGGCTGAAAATTAGGTGTAGTAAAACCACCACCACCACCAAGAAAATACACACTGAAGGAGATTTTTATGTAACTGCTAAATCTCATGTACCTCCACTCAGGTTGTCAGAACTGTGTGATGTGCTTGTCTGTTTTAGCTTCGACAGGGGCTTGTGTGGATTGACTGGTCCAAAGCCAGGACTTTGAAGATATTCCCATAACCTCATATTCTTCAACTCGGCAGTCGCAGCTCAGCGTGCACTCACCTGTAGCAGTGGTTCTGACTTTATCCCCCAGGGAACATTTGGCAATGTCTGGAGACAGTTCCGGTTGTCAGCAGGGTAGGAGGGGTGTGCTGCTGGCACCCAGTTGGAGGAGCAGCCCTGCCCTTCCCACTACCCCAAATTACCTTGTCTAAAATGCCAGCTGTGCCGAGAATGCGGAACCCTGCTGCAGAGAAGCTGAGATATTTCAACATGAAAATTATTCCTTCATTAGATTCTCTAAGAGTATAGTTATCATTAGGATTACCTACTCCTCGTGTCCAGTTTGAAACTGCACTTTGCTCTTATGGTTGGGATAAACATTTTTTAGTTAAAAACAAGTCAATTGAAAGAAAAATGTTAACTCAAAAATACTATAGATGGTCAGTGGATGTGTTATATGAAATATGAAAGAGATGGTTGAATGAATTAATTTAAGAAAAAAAATGCCCTATGCTATTATGCAAATGAGATTATTCTCCAATTGTGGTCCTTTTAACCATGTCAGTGTTACTCCAACTTGTCTCCACATGTTCCCGTGTTCAGTGAGTCCTCCTGTTTCATTTCCTCTAACCAGTTTTGAAATATTGAGGACAAGTTTTTAATTCTCTGATACTTGGTGGCTCTTCTTTTCTTGGGACTGAGAGTGTAGGGCAGGTGAAATGGGGAATTTACCGTAGTTCAGCAGATTTCACTTTCACCTTCACCGTGTCTCAGGACAGCATTTCATGCTGCTCCACGTCCAAAGCCACTGCACATCACTTGTTGGAAACCACACAGCCCAGAGGCCCTCGTCATCGTGGATGGAGCATTTGTTGGAGGGCTCTTTGTTGTCAGTCCCACGTGGGAAGCACTGGGTTGTCTGAAAGTCTTTATGAATATTCATGGCATTCGTTTGCATATTACAAACAAAATCCCTGTGGAATAAGGTACAGAGCCAATCTGGCCCTACCCAAAGAGGTTCTGATGCAGTCGACCTTGGCTAATCTCTAGGAATCTGCATAATTAACAATTGTCTTGAGTGAGTCTGGGCCAACACGGAGAATCACTGAACCCCCTTTTTATAAACCAAGTTTTGGGGTTTTCCTTATCTCATGACGAACCAACATGTTTTAATCTGTTCCGTGGTGACTTTCCAGCCAATAGTTATAAGCAATATTGCATGTGAATTTATACAATAGTACTCTTGCAGTTATTTGATTATAACATTGCACTTTTGCTCTTACTATTGATACTTAGTAGAACAAAAGAAAAACAAGAATCCCCTAAGTGTAATATGGATGAATCAAAGATGGACATCACTAGGCCTGCTGAAATTGAGGAATCTTTAGCTTGTGTTCGATAGACTTCAGACAGAAGAAATGAAGAAAATGAATACTTTTTTTTTTTTTAAGTAGAAGTACAATCATTCAAGATTGGGTCTAAAAGTTGAGGCATAATTAGGAAATATAAAATATCCCCTTTGGTGAAAATATTTTTTTCCCCATAGTAGGCATATTTCTTGCATAGCTTGGCGTGCTGTCTTTAACACATTTTCAGGGCCATGTCCGGAAGAAAGGGGTTGCCAATAATAGAATGACAGTGAGAGACCTATTTTCCACATCCTTTATTTGAACAATCAGGGTGACAGTCTTTCCCGATATAATTACAGTCCTCTCTCTGGTGGTTAGGTTTTAAGGGAGCTGGTGATCTCATCTGTTATTCAGACATCAGCGAGATGTTGGTAAGTCTTCTATTTGCCAACCATAGCCCTGAAAATGTTAATTTGCGTGGCTGACTCTCCACCCTGAAAAGGATTTTGGGTTTGAATTCTTACCAATGGCTCTTGCCACTTGGCTTTCTAGAGTTACCTAGTCTAGTGGTTAATTAGACTTCGGTCTGGTAGCAAAAGAATTAGGTAACTGTTATTAGATTAGGCTGTAATTTTTAAGATCTTTTACATTTTTTGTTAAAAATTTATAAGCATTTTGTTTTAAGATAATTGTAGACTCACATTTGGTTGTAAGAACTATTACACAAAGATCCTATACCATTTATCCAGTTTCCCTAGTGGTAACATCTTTGAAACAACAATGCAATATTATAACCAAGATAATGACATTCATAGAGTCAAGATAAAGGACAGTTTCATCAGTGCCAGGATCCCTCATGTTACCTGTATAGACATCCCCTCTTCCATTCTGCTCCCTTCTCACACACCCCTAACCCCTGATAACCACTAATCTAATTTCCATTTCTATAATTTTGTCATTTCAAGAATGCTATTAATGCAGTCATACAGTATGTAACCTTTTGGGTTTGGCTTTTTTCCCCCCACCCAGCATCATTCTCTGAAGATACATTCATATTGTTTTTATAGCTAAGTGGTATTCTATGATATGGATGTTCCCCAAATTGTTTAACCATTTACCCATTGGAGAATAGATAGGTTGTTTCCAGTTTTGCGCTGTTACAAATCCAGCTGCTTAATGAACATCATGTTCACATTTTTTTGTGTGTGGGAAGTTTGCATCTCTCTGGCATAGAGTCCTAAGAGTGCAACTGTAAGTCCTATGTTGCTTGCTTAGTTTTTTAAGAAACTGCCAAACTGTGTTTCAGAGCTGTACCATTTTACATTTACCATTTTACACTAGCAATGTATTATAATACGTGATCCAGTTTCTCAGCATCCTTTGTCAACATTTGGTGGCATTATTATTATTTTTTTATTTCAGCCAGTCTGATAGGTGTGTACTGATGTTTCATTGTGGTTTTAATTTACATTTCCATGAAGCCTTAATGATGCTGAACATTTTCTCATGTGCTTCTTGATCATCTGTATATTCTCTTTGGTGAAATGTCTGTCTTTTTTCCATTTTGTAATTGGATTGTTTGGTTCTTTACTATTGAGATATGAGGACTCTATATATTCTAGATACTAATCCTTTGTCAGATATGTGGTTTGCAAATATTTTTCTCCCAGTCTGTAGCTTGTCTTTTCATTCTCTTAGCAGAACTTTTCACATAGTGAAAGTTTTAAATTTTGATGAGGCACAGTGTGGCAACGTTTTCTTTTATGGATTGTGCTTTTGGTATGAGGTCTAAGAACTCTTTGTTCAGACCATGATCCCAAACATTTCCTCCTTTTTTCCCCCTAAACTTTTTATAGTTTTTTTTAATATTTAAGTCCATTTTCAGTTAAGTTTTGTATGAGTGTTTTGGGTTAAGGAGTTTGTTTATTCCCTATGGATATTTGAGCACCGTTTGTTTAAAAGGCTACCCTCCCTCCATTGCTTTTCCACTTTTGTCGCCATGTTTTTGTGACCCTTGGTAAGTTCAGTGACTATGCAAGCTGGAAGCCAATAGAATTGATTTTAATTATTTTACTGATATCTTTGGATATTTAAGAAATAACAGAAATTCTCTTTCCTTTAATTTACAGTATTAACTGTTTACAGTATTAACTTGGACTGCACCCTAGCCTGGCAATAATCTTTGAGTCTCTGGGTTGAATTTTCTGAGGGAGAATCTGGTTGGTGTTCATCAGCATTTATTAGCTAGTCTAGTGTCTGGCCCAACTCTTGACCGTCAGTTATGAGGAATGTCACATGACACACAGGGACTGTCTCTTTCTAGGACTTTAAAGTCTTTGGCGTATATCAGGCCTATGATTTCCATATATAATGGCATTTGAAATTAGAGTGTGTGCCATAAATGCTTATATTATTTGCGCTGATTTGGGATTTTTATTTCTGGGAGTTTTTCTGCAATGTTTCGTCTACTGGTGTTATTGTCAAAGTATGAAGAAATTTGCCTCCAAATACTTATTTTCTTTTGATTCCAGTGAGTTTCTGAACGACATAATACACCCATTGTGGAAACAGCTTGGGGTTTTAAAATTTTATTTTCCCAAAGCGACATCACATTTATGGCTTATGAATATTTTACAGGTGAAAACATCAAAAAAGAAAATATTTCAATGTAAATGCCAGTAATATCTGAGTCAGTAGTGATGCTGAGTGCTGTCTTTGTATTTCCTTGCAGATTTATCAACGATGTTGGTTAGTATTCAAGAAAGCTTCAAGCAAAGGTCCAAAAAGACTGGAGAAATTTTCCGATGAACGTGCTGCGTATTTTAGGTGTTATCATAAGGTAAGACTCGGTTGTTGTAGCTTTCCAGAAATCTGTTCATAACTAAGGAACTCAAGTTCATTGAGTCTGAAAACTTGTCTTGCTTTTTTAACAAAGGTACAAATGATACTTTTTCCAAGGACGCAACATCTCTAAAGTAATATCTACTTGCTCATTGTTTAAAATAATTGACTGATGTGAAGTCCCTCTTCTGGTTTCCTACTATTTGTTGTTGTTTTTCCAATCTCTACTGTAGAAATCACCATGTTTTGTAAATTTTCAACTGCGTGGTAGGCCCTTCTCCCGACATTGAAGCCCCTGGAGGGTCAGGATTGGATCTCATTATGTCTATCACAGTGCCTGATACAGAATAGATCCTCAGTCAGTGCTTGGAGTGTGGGGTGAGGAGGGAGGGGAAGAAGCTGGAAGAGGTGGATCCAGTAGCACAGAAATTTAGCCAGGTGAGGGAAAGTGAATAACCTTCCCTTTTCTGCAAATTCTCCCAAAGTGGTGACTTTCCAACATCTTACTAAGGGCCTGTGTTGACACCTTGGTTTACACAGTAATGAAAAGCAGTAAAACAAGCTGTATTCCTTCTCAGCTTAGAGACATAAAGCGTATGCTATGCTTTAAAGGTGCATCTATATAGACATAAGGGAAGGAAAAGCACAGAGCAAGACTTTTGAGATAAGTAGGAAAGGGAGTCAAGAGTCCCTTGGACTCCCCATGGAGTCACATCTTCCATGTGGTTCACTTCCCCACTATTTCATAGCGAAGTTCTACCTTCCAAGGTCAGCCCCATTTCCAGCCTTCCTTCTCTCCAAAGGAGAACCCAAGTACACTTCTGTATGAGTCTAGATTTCCTCTACTGTTTATCTTCCATGTGCCAGATATTACCACTATTCAAATAAAATTTTTTTTGTCCTCAGGAAGGAGTTGTTGCGAATCTATTATTTAGGAGCGGTGATCCAGGAAGCCAGGGAGAGCATAACTTTGAACCCTTGAAAATAATCTTGAGCCAGTCTCTTCATTTCTATAACACCTGAAACTATTGATGTCCAGTCATTTTGGACCATTTATCCCGTGCATACCCAGTGTCTGCTCTTGTAACAGGATGGCGAACAATGATATCGGAATGACGTGCTTCATTTTAATTTGAGAGGTCTTGCCTTAAAACGGAGCTCAAGATGCCCAAAGGGGTGTTTGGTTTATCTCTAGGACAAGGACAGAGTTGCTTCCTTTCTCCTTCCCTTACCTGGCACTGATTCCTCTCCGCCACCTCTCAGGTCCATCACATCCTGGTGACTAGACTTGCCACTGTGGTTGAAAATCATTCATTCTTCATTGCCTTCACACTGTAATTAACAAGGTCATCCAAAGGCTTCACCCCTAGGCAGCCAGAACTTGTGGTTATACATCAGTTCTTCTCTTGAGAATCCCAGCCAGTCTATAACTTTACAGTCTCCATTTGCTCTAGGTTGTGTGCTTGTGTCCCAACCACCCAAATTCATATGTTGAAACCTAATCCCCAGTTGTGATGCAATGTGGAGGTGGGACCTTTGGGAGGTGATTTGGTCATGAGAGTGGAGCCCTCGCGAATGAAATTAGTGCTTTTATCAAAGAGACCCGGGAGAGCTCCCTCCTCCCTTCCGCCAGCTGAGGACACAGAATCTATGAACCAGGAAGCAAGTCCTCACCAGACACTGAATCTGCCGGTGCCTCTACCTTGGTCTTCCCAGACTCCAGAACACTGAGAAATAAATTTCTGTTGTTTTTCAGCCACCCAGTCTGTGGTGACTTCTTACAACAGCCTGAATGGACTAGAATACCGTCAGACTCGTTCTGTTTGCCCATTGTGTGTGGCCACTGATGTTGACCAGTGCTTCCTTGTTTTGGTAGAGTTGCATATATTTCCAGAAATATCTGATTCTTCACAATCCCCTATACCAACCTTTCTGAATGCAGAAAAATAAATAGGCTGTATTTTGCTTACAGACCTATATATTCCTAAGAGAAGAAAGAGGACAGGTGAGGAGTATTTTATAGGAACTCCCCAAATCCAATCCATCAGCAGATGGTGTCGGCTCTGTGTTCAATGTGCAGAGAGACTCTGAATGTTTCTTACAGCCTCTGTTGCTACTGCTGTGGTCGAAGCCACCAGGCTGCCTAATTCCCAGCCCTCTGAAGTCTATTCCAAACACTTATATCACATCCTGAAACTCTAGCTCAGAACCCTCAGCCAAGTCCTTAAAATGGCCTACACATCACTCATGTGACTGCCTGTCGCCTGTTTAACTTCAGCTGCACAGTTTCCCCAATCCAACTTTATTCTGCGACAGGTGCCCTGGGCTCCTTACTCTCCGCAGGACATGCCAAGCACGTTCCCACCTTCGAACTTGCTCTTCCCTTTGCTTTGGCTCTCCCAGCAGATATCCTCAAAGCTCACGTCCTTACTTTGTTCGGGTCATTGTTCAAATTCCTCCTCTATGTGAGGCCATTGCCTGCCCCCATTATTTAAAACGGAATCCTTGGACACCCTCCCTCTCCATCTCCCTTTATTTTTCTCTTTAGCACTTATCACTACATACATATCTACTTGGTTGTTTCTTATTTTCGTTACTACAACACCACCAAAAATAAGCTCCACAAGGCCAGAGATTTTTTTGGTGGGGGCTTAAGTCTGCCTCTACTCCTTATCAGGGCCTAACACATAGCAGACACTTTTTAAACTATTGATTGAAAAGCTATGAATATAATCGACAGAGGACATGGAATACATGTAGATGTCTTTGTGTCACACTTTTATTTTAGCTTATCAGAAGATCTTGAGAAATCTGAAACCGGGAAGAGGAATTCTGATTTGGAGGAAATGGGGTGCGTTAGGATGGGAGCAGAGAAAGCAAGGATTGGGAAGTTATATGAGGACAGACTCAAATGTAAAACCAAAGTGGACTGAAAAGATTCCCCTTGAATGTGAAACAAGTGAGGGGAGATTGAGGACAAACTTGCCCTATTTCCCAGACTTCTACCTGCTGGCTTTGGAATTTAATATGTAAATCTTTGGGGAATGTGATAAGCCACATTCTCTTTCATCTATAATAATCATTAACCAAAGCTCAAAGCATTAGAATGGAAGAATTATCTACACTAAGCCTCCAAGCCCTTGATGAGTTCCTGTAGCCTATTCATCGTCCTTACTCTTTCAGGCCTGATACGTTTAGTATTAATCTCTCAGGGATATATAAAAAGCTGGAGTAACTCTGAGATGTGCATTTTTTATCTAAATTCTGTGTAACTTATGAATCTTGATAATACTAGGGTGATAAGTAGCACACAGTGAACAGATTTCAGAGTTCATTCGAATACAAATAAAGCAATTTCCAAAAGAATTGAAGAATTGTATATTATGCTATTTGATCAACACATAGATGATGGCATATACACCCATATCTCTCCTGTAGGACATCTGTAGCGTTTATGGGAATATAGTGCTTCTTTTGTTTCACTTTTAAAGATATTATTATGGAAAAAATGCCAGCTTTATGTATGTGATTCGTTTTAGAAGTTTTTAAAGCAAGAAATTGTCTGTAGAATTTTAAAACTTGGTGCTTTCCTCACTGACAAGGGAGCTAAAGGGGCTCTCATAAAAAATTGGAAAATAAATATATGAATAATGCACATACAGAACCATTCATTTTTCATGTCTTCTTCTGTGAAGCACCCCTCAAGCACCCACAGCTGTCAGAGACGGCTGTGAATTTGATTAACTGTAATTGCAACGATATTAAGACTCCAGTGACTTTATTTTTCATTTATTTCTTTCCAGTTTTATTGAGAAATAATTGACATACATCACTGTCTAAGTTTGAGACAAAGGATTCCAGCGACTTCCTGACCTTGTGAAACACAAGTTTATTGTTTTCACTCAGCAAATCAAAGTTGCTTACACCAACCAGAAGGGGGGTTGAGGATTTCTGTGCCCACTTTTACTTTTTTGAGATGAATAACAACTGGGAAGAAATCTAAGTGGAGAGACGATTGTCTGTTGTTTTTGAGACCAAGGCAGTTAGTGTGGTGGGAAGTATGCTGACCCTGGGCTCGGTAAACCTACTTTCTCTTTTCCCTTTTTTCCTTTTCTTTCTCTCTCTTTTTTCCTTTTTCAGCTAACCTCACTTTATTTATTTATTTATTTATTTAAGTAAAGTAGATATACACATATTATGTTAGTTTCAGGTGTACAGCATAGTGATTCAGGTTTTTTTTCAATTAATTTTTATTGGAGTATAGTTGATTTACAATGTTGTATTAGTTTCTGCTGTACAGCAAAGTGATTCAGTTATACATCTACCATATGTCCACTCTTTTTAGATTCTTTTCCCATGTAGGTCATTACGGAGTATTGAGTAGAGTTCCCTGTGCTGTACTGTAGGTCCTTATTAGTTATCTGTTTTATATATAGTAGTGTATATATGTCAGTCCCAGTCTCCCAATTTATCCTTGCCCCCCTTTCCCCCTATAAAACTCTTAGACGAAAATATTATAGGCAGAAAAAAAAAAAGAAAATATAGGCAGAACACTCTCTGACATAAAGCACAGCAATATCTTTTTTTGATCCACCTCCTAGAGTAATGAAGATATAAACAAATGGGACCTAATTAAACTTAAAAGCTTTTGCACAGCAAAGGAAACCATAAAAAAACCGAAAAGACAGTCCACAGAATGGGAGAAAATATTTGCAAACAAAGCGACTGACAAGGGATTAATCTCCAAAATGTACAAACATCTCATGCAGCTCAATATGAAAAAAGCAAACAACCCGATCAAAAAGTGGGCAGAAGATCTTAATAGACATTTCTCCAAAGAAGACGTACAGATGGGCAGAAAGCACATGAAAAGATGCTCAACATCACTAATTATTCGAGAAATGCAAATCAAAATTACAATAAGGTATCACCTCAAACAGGTCAGAATGGCCACATCAAAAAATCTACAGATAATAAATGCTAGAGAGGGTGTGGAGA